AAGCTGTTAATGATGAATGTTATTGAGCTGAATGATGATATTGATGTGCTGCGCTGAGCGCGGCCCTTGTCGCGCTGGGCGTGAGACTCCTTGGGAGTCTCTGCCTCGAGGGCGCTGGGCGCAATTTGGTTTGCGCTGGGCGCGAGACCAAGGGAGGTCTCTGCCTTGCCTGCGCTGGGCGCGGGTTGGGGCACGCCGGGCGTGTGAGACTCTTTGGAGTCTCTGCCTGGCCTGCGCTGGGCGCAATTGGGTATTGCGCCAGGCGCGAGAGAGCTTAGGACTCTCTGGCTAAGTCTCGCCGGGCGCAGGCACGCTTGCGTCGGGCGCGCTGGCCCTGGAGCCCTCTGGTTGTGCCACGCCGGGCGCGACCATGAGTGCGCCGGGCGCGTATGAGGATGTGAAGTTATATGCTAAATTTGATGATAATATGGTTTTATGTTGATTAATGCTGCCAATGTCGTGTGATGAAAAGTTGTGTTGTGCTGTGTGATGCTAATGCTGAACCTTATTGTTTGAGTCGAACTGAATGATATGTTGATAGTGGTTGAATCATGCTGTAATTGCTGAGCTGAGATGTAATTGATAAATATGTTGTGCTGACTAGGTGTAAATGCTAAATAAAATAATGTTAAGCTGTAATAGATGTATATCGCTATGCTGAGTTGGGTTGTTATTGATGAATTTAAATGCTGATTTATAATATGGCTATGCTCTAGAATGATGAGCTGAGTTGTGAGTAGTAAGCTGTGTTGAATACTACTTAGCTGTGCTGTATGCTGATTTTGCTGTGCTGTGCTGTGAGCTGTTTTGCTGTGCTATTTATTGTTGAGCTGTATGCTGTGTTTAGCCATTATTGTGGTGTTGTTATAGCCGCTATGTCGGTGCTGTTAGCCACTATTGTGGTGCTGTTATAGCCGCTATGTCGGTGCTGTTAGCCACTATTATAGTGCTGTTATAGCTGCTGAGCGGTGCTGATATTGCTGAATTTGTTCTGGTGTAGTATAAGCTGTACGGGTGTGCTGATAGCTGTAGATGCTTTTATTTACATATTTATGTATGTATGTTGATTTTTAATTACACTAGCTTACCCTTTTTTGTTTCCATGATGTTTGGACTGCAATGATCATACTATGTATGGGAGCAGAGCAGGGATAGGTGGATGTCTAGTGGTGAGTCTTCAGCGGACCAGTGGAGCTGATCTCTTTTGTGATTATTTTTGTTGTTGAGCTACTTGGGATAGTAGCTTTTGATTATAATTTTTGTACACTTTAACTCTGTTCAGATTGGATCATGTATATGTATATTCTAGACTCTATATGTATACAGTTGTTCTTTTCTGTGCGGTGTTTCTAGTGTGCTGTGTCGTGTGTAGTGACCAGCCGGGTCGTTACATTTAACTTTTGAGTAGTATCATAAATATAGGTCTATTTATAAGTTTTGTATGAAAATAAGTTAATAAGTTGGAGAAACTTTTAAACGGGTCAAGTTAAACCTTAAAAAAAGTCTTTTTTTGTTTTTTAGGTTCGTCTCTGGAGTATTCACCGTCGATAGCAGTGACTAATCTCCTCGCTACCTTGGAGACACCTCAAAGGGGGAGATAGCTGGCCCCAAGATTTAACGCGGCTGCATACATAAGGCAGGATTCGAACCCCTGACCTTGCTTAAGCGTGAACCTTAAAAAAAGTCTATAACAAGTAAATTAGATAGACTAGACTTAGGTATGTCCAGGTTTGACCTAATTAATCCATTTTCACTCCTATTATTGAAAATGTTAAATGATTAAAAATTATATTTAACATGTTTAAACGATGTAAAGTTATGTTTAAATAATTTAAGAGTAGAATTTTAATTTAATTATAACAAATTTTTTAATTAATACTTTTCATTGATTTATAAATGTTACACATAATTAAAGTGCAGATAATAAAGTGAGTATGAGTGTATAGGTATCCAAAAAATAAAATTAAAGTTGTTACACAAGTACGAGTTATATATGATTTTTTTTTTCAAGTGCGTGTAGAAAAGGAGTATGTATTGTCATTCAAAGTTGTCAAACATGTTAGTTGTGGTATTGACACTTAAAAGACTTCAAAACTCAAATAAATTGAGATTTTGAATATATATAGAGGAAGGAATCCAATAATAAATTTTGGTAGATTTACTCAACTCAATAACTCATCTTTTACATTAAATTTTATTTATGTAACCATTGAATTAAAAGTTCTTAATGTATATATTAAATTTACAAATTTTTTAAAAGTTAAAAATTATTTAATATTTCATTTTATTAATTTAAATTGACAAATAATTATAAAAATATTCTATACATTAATTTGAATTTATATACTGAAGTATTATATAATTTTTAAAATTTTTAAAAATTAATAAATTTGATTAATATATTAAAATTTTTAATTTAATAATTAAATTATTAATTTGATATAAAATATAATTATTATATAAATTGTTTCTATCAAAACTTATGCGTATGAACGAGGGGAGGATGCAAATAATGTGATTGATCTTGAATAGTTAAGTAGCTTATGTCAAACAGATCCAAACATGAAATATGTCGAGTCTTAATCATACTACCTGTGAAAATATTTGGCATAATGATACAAAATAATGTGATTAAAGTGTTTATATATATATATATATATATATATATATATATGATTATGGATTAAAAAAGAATTAATTATTCATACACGTTAGTGTAAAGTTTTTTATACTAATAACCAATCATATTTTTTAAATTATTTTATTTTATTTTTATTTTATTAAATAAGTAACTGACATGATACTATTAAAAAATATAATTGGTTACTAGTGTAAAAAATCTTTACATTTTCTTAAAAAAAATGTGTTCATATGTTTTTAAAGACATTATCCGTTAAATGTGATTAGACTTTCTTTTACTTTTGGTAATTTGTGTATTCATGTAAAAAGATTGGTGAGCCAAGATTGTAATGAGGCATATTAATCAAGAGTTGACTTATGAGCCACTGAGCCAGCCACAAAAAAACCTTTGAGTACCCCAGACGTCTAGGGGAAATGTCTCGTACCTATGTCAGACAGGCACATGTCGAAACAGTATAATCCTCTAACTTTGGAAAATTATGCAACCCGTTCCAGAATAATTTTATATACGGTTATAAAAAAAAATTATATGGTAAATAAAAATCCTGGGATTTATCATGGCATTTGGGCGTATAATAAGAACCTGCCTCAGATGGAGCGTACGACGATGTTTTAAAGGCTACACGGAATTGGGCTACACCTTTGTTTGTGCGCAACTTGTACTATACCGAGGAATAGCGAAAGAGACCTTACATAATAGATTAAAGAGACCTTACATAATAGATTGTACATTAATAATTATAGTTTGAAATGTAGTATCCTACTAGGCCCCAGTATTTTATCTTGTTATATTACTTCGAGCAGCAAATTACAAACAATAAACTACGTGCATGTGTTTGGTAATGTCTAAAATCTGAAGTTAAGACATGTAATTATCGGAAAAGTAATGATTCTCGATCTTTGGTTTTCGATATTTGGATCAGTGATTGTATATGTAAAAAAGATTATGATATTGTTTACGGTGAAATTCATTTGTGGACCTTTTATATTCGAACTAGCACGTAAACAGTTTTAATTTAGGTATCCAATTTAAGGACAGAAAACGGAGTAGGAAGATTTAGTAGTTACTGGTTTCTAAATATTCGTCAATGATTACCAACAAATAATGTTCATGCACGTAAACACTTAAATAAACAGAATGAACAATAGAGATATTTCCAATACAGATCATGGTTCATAATGTTCAAGTATTACAACATCATCAGAGTTTACGTAATTTAAAACTACATTTTAGTAATTTAAACTACGTGATTAAAAGAAGAAAGAAGACTAAACTAATCCTAATCTAAAAAGAGAAGAAAAAGGTGGTCAAGAAGCAATCATACCCAAAAACGATTCCTTGCACGAAAGCCTTATGCGCAGGCGGAGAGTGCTTGAGATCTCAGTTCAAGTATGAGTTTTTCTGACCTCCGTAAAGATGCATGACTCTTGCATTTATAGAGCCAATTAAGGACGGTTAGCTTCGTGCGTGTAAGCCATTATAGGATAACCGCTATCCACTATGCTCATTACGTGGCTTTAAATTATAACTTCTCATAACCGTTCTCCCACGTGTTTTGTTTTCTCGATCTGGACTTTGATAACTACCTTGGTGCAACCATAAGAACCTCAGGCAACTTCCCTAATTTTCGAGCATATCGTTGTTCGACTCGAAACAATTCTTTTCGACCTCGAACATCTGTTACTGGTAGGCGTTAACTTCATAATGTTTTTCGAGAAATCTCATGCACTTTTTCGAGCAGGCCTAACAAATGCCCCCCTAGGAATTCAGTCGTGGTGAGCATACTTTTACTGCGAGGAGAGACTTGAATTCCTATCGTGAATCATTTTTCGATTCTTCATCGAGATGGTTTAAGTACTGACTTTATATTTCTTCGATGAAAACCTACCCTGATCCCCTATTTAATGCAAATGACCGTTTGATGTGACATGTGATTATCCTGACGGCGCGTGCTCACGTTACTCTATAAATTTATCTAACAGAAAGCGTTTTGGCGGCTGTTATAAATATTCAAATTAAAATTTGAATTTAATTTGGTAAGCCCATTTTACCTTAGGCCCATCAGCACGTTAAAAACCCCTTTTTTACCCTAGAGTAAAAATCACTTTCACCAATCTCTTGCTCTTTTCCTTCGCACCTAATCTTTCTCTTCTTCTCGTCTTCTTGCTCCGTTTCTTGGCTCTCTTCTCCGGCGACCTTGCACTCTTGTATTCTTTACTCCTTGCCTCTGTTTGTAATGGCTTCTTCCGCTGCTTCAACCTCTGCTGCCGTAGCGTCCACAACTTCTCCTACTGCTGCCTCGGCATCATCTCCGGTCTTGGCGACTGCAACGTCTCCTGTCATGACCACTGTGACGACCATGGCCACTGCAACCTCTACTCAGACAGGTCCTCTGTTGATGGCTAATGCCCAAGTCTGCAAGGTTAAAGATGGGGACGATACCTTCGTCCCTATTCCCGGCATGGAAGAGGCAAGCCTAAAAATCTTCCAATCTCAGGTACTACTTCCCTTCTCTCTTGAGAATGGTAATGTGCATGCTTTCTTAGGACCGTTTATAGGTCAAAATAAGAAAAAATTTGGCAACACCTTACTACCTAAAGATACCTCTACCTTACCCTTCATCCATTCTTCAAAGATAGATCTGTCTTTGTTCAGCGATACTACTAAAGTTTTTAGGGCTTTTCCCCCATTAAAGATAGGCATCTACAGTGGTTACTTCGTGTAGAGAGTGCAATGAGCTCTTCTTGGGTGGAAACTGGCATATTCGAGTTTATCCAACTCGCAAAATTTGATCTGCATCTCTTCGACCCTCAAATGCTCCTTTCTGCAATTTTCTTTTGGAATAGAGAGACTCGAGCTTTCGAGTTCTCTTGTGGTTTTGTCTGTCCTACTCTACTCGATATTGCCGCCATCACTGGTTTAGCACCTGTTGGGGATAGGTTTTACCCTGATTTGTTCGAAGAAGAGATTTCGATCAAAGAAACTTCGATATCTTGGGATAAGAAGACTTACTTGGCCTTCATCAATGCTCACATGGGAAAACCTGGTACTTCTGTTTCGACTTTGGAGCATATTGCCTTCTTGATGTATTGGCTTTCTGCCTGTGTTTTCTGTACCCCCTCTCTTCAAGTTCCTAAGTATTACTATATCTTGGCTCAAACCCTTCATCTAAAAAAGAAAATTTGTTTGAGTAAACTTCTGTTGGCCTCCTTGTATAGTTGTCTCGATGAAGCTTCAGAAAGCCTTTTTCGCGAGTCTGGTCCTCGGAATCTCTCTGGGCCACTATGGTTACTTCAATTATGGCTCAATGCGATTTTCGAGAAGAAGCTTTCTCTGACATTGCCCTTCACCCCAGCATGCAAACTCGAAGGTGCACGTTTGACAACCCTCACTCCTCGAAAACGTTCAGTTGACAATTTTGCCAAATATATTGATGCTATCCCTAGTTTTACTGATTTTAGTGAAGACTTAGCCCCTTTTATTCGTACCACTTTGACGGGCCCTTCTTGGCTTCGACACAATAATCAAGTTGGGCAAATATCCCATGATTCTCTCGAGATGTGGTTTGGTTTTCTTTCTTGGGATGTCATAATCTCGGGAATGCGGCAAAAGGATGTTAGGATTTACCCTTATCATCCTCAGCTCTTTGCTCGACAATTTGGACTTTGTCAAATGAAACCCCTTCCTCTTCGACGTAAAGAGAGCATCGATGCTGATATTTGTGTCGAAGAAGGGAATTACCAAGAAGTTCTAGATTTTATTCTCCGTCCTGACAAAGAACTTAAGCTCACACCGTCTACTTTCTCTCCCTCCTTCCTAGTCTCGAAATGTTATCTTCGATGGTGGTGTCAATATTATGTAGATAAACTTATCGACTTTGATGGTTTTTTGAAGAAGCTGATCAATTCTCCTCTTTCTTCGTAGGGTCCCAAACAATCAGGTACTTTCAAGAACCAAACTATTATTTACCAATTCGAGCAATTTTTTAAAGTTTGTTATCGACCTGATAACATTGGACGGACCATCTTTGACGCTTCTGTTTCTTTATCGAAAATGGTACAAAGGAACATTCGCTTGAAAAAGGTGATTAATCCTCGGGGAAAAACTGATTTTGAAAAATTTTGTCCTAAACATATACCCCCTCTTCCAAATGCTCTTTTTGGTCTAGTTAAACATTTATCTCGCCCTTCTTGGGTGAAGACTCTCGACCCACTTTACTTTGAGCGTAAAGAGGTCCCTGTTAAGAATCGAGTTACCTATGCGAGATGTTCCCTGTACGATTTTCCTCGAAGAAGGTGGTGGCCATTGTGTTGGGTCGATAACACCAATCTTCCTCCTGGTAAATGACTTCTAACTAAGAATTTTCTTCGAATTCCACTTTGTACTTATCTCATCTTCTTTCTATGTTTACGCATTATACAGCTGCTATTCCTCAACGTGTTCCACAACACGTCGAACAGACTCCCAACTGGGAGAGTGAGGAAGATGGAGATGATGCTAAAGAGTTATCAATGAAGGGTCGAAAAAGAAAGACCGCTTCTGACAAGGTGTCTTTACGTTCAAAGGTACAATTCTTTTCGATACACCTTCTTCAAATGAACTTTTAGATTTTATTCCCTTTTCCTGATTATTCTCTGAAACTTCTATGTTTCAGAATCTCGACACCTCGAAAAAACAAAAAACAGATTCGGCCAGTACTAAGACTATGAGTACCCTTTTGCCTTAACATTTTTAACATTCTCCATTTCAACTTAAAATTGTTTTCCATTTTTTAGGTGTCGAGCACGAAAAAAACCGATAAGGGGAAGGGAAAGTTAGTGACCCCTCCTCTCAAGAAGATTCAAAAGCCTTCTGGTGAAAAACTTCTTAAAGATGCGATGAAGTCGGTTCCCAAGGTATTTTTTGTTTTGATTTCGATTACATTTCCTTATTTCCTCGACTTTTCTAAAATATCTGCTCATCATAGGATGTCGAAATAATCCAAATTGACTCCTCTCGCGAAATGTCGAGAGATATACCTCTTGTTACTGGGGCATCTCAACAGGTTCACCTTTTCACCAGCTTTCATTTTTTTGTTAACTTCAATCTTCTCTTCTGATCGCATCATTCGTTTGTAGTTGGCCACGCCTCAATTAAATGTTGCTGAGATTGCTTCAATCGTGGCCTCGATAGAGATTCCTCCTAAGGTTGAAGAGGACAAGGTTCCCCAATCGGGACCTTTGGCGAATGTGGAGGCCCTCTAACAGTCTGCACAAGGTGAAGCTTCTTTCGAGCTCAAACCTCCCTTGAGTCCAAACAAGGGTATATCTCTTTTATCTTTTAAACTTTTATCATTTTATGAGTCTTAATAAAACTATCTGCCTTACACATTGTGTTTGTTTATAATAGATTCGACTGAGTCTCCCAAGCCTTTCACTACTTCTCCTTCGACCCAAGGTGGTTTCGAATCTTCTGTACAAGGGCTTTCCTCGATCCCCTCAACTGACTTGGACTTAATGAGCTTTTTCAATGAAGAGGACGAGGATATCAATAGTATTTTCGACGTTCTCGACAACTGGACGAGTGGTCCATTTGGGTCGGAAAAGGAGAAAGAGAAAGTTGAACAAGTTTCCGAGGCAACCCCATCTTTCCAACCTGTGCTGTCTTTCAGGTCGAAGGCTTATGTGGATGACCTGGATCAAGCCCTTCTCGACCCAGCCTTCAAAGTCAAAGTTGGGCAGATGGTCGACGACTTGCTTGCCTACTCCGACCTTCCTCCTGCAATTCATGTCGAGCTGCAAGAGTTTATCACGTCTTTTACTCTCGCCTCAGATCTTCGATCTCAGTGGTCTAGTACTTTTCAAGAAGTAGCTCAGATCGAAGTTGAGAGTGAGGGCGATCGTGCTAAACTCGAGAAGCTCCGTGAAGATTTAATCTCCATTCGGAAAGCTACTGAGGAAATGATTCCTGCCTTGAAGAAGTTACAATAAGAGGAAGCAGATTGCACAACGTCCATTGAAGCCTTGCAGCATGAGTTGAATACTCTTCGCTCGAAACAGGCTGTCTTGAAGACTCGAAGTTAGGAAGTTGTGCAACGTCAGAAGAACTTAAAAGATGAAGGCAAGGTCATCTCTTCGAGACTCGCCAAAGCTTTGGAGCACAAGAAACATCTGGAGGGTCAGTGTGTTGCTCGAAGACAAAGCTTGGATGAGGCCTATAATGCTTTCAAAAACTTCAAGTCCAAGTTTTGTAATCATTAGGTTTTTTTTCAATATTGATTTTTTTGATTTCTCCTTGGCTTGTATTGAACAACTATTTTAATACTCTGTTCTCTTATGAAAATGTTTTAAATATTTTCCATTTAGCACTTTGTTCATGTTTGAATCGATTTCTTTAATCACGTACGCATTTTTCGAATATACTTGCTCGATTATAAAGGGACCTTCCCAATTAGGAGACCACTTCCCAAAGTGTTGAGATTTTTGATCCATGGGAAGAATTACTTTTAACACTAAATCACCAACTCGAAAACTACGCGCTTTGACTCTCTTATTGTATGTTTTCTCGATTCTTTCCTTTTGTTGAACCATATTTTGTAATGCCAACAACCTTTCTTCCTCCAACGATATTAACTCGTCATACATTAAATTCCAATAATCCTCAATGGGAAAATCATTCTGTTTTTGTATATGAATTGATTGTAAATTAATATCTATAGGAAGAATAACTTCATGCCCATACACTAATTTGTATGGAGTAGTCTTAGTGGCATCTCTAGGTGAATTTCTATAAGCCGATAACACTTGAATAAGAGTTTCATGCCAATTTCAAGGCTTGCTCGAGATATGTTTCTTGATCAAACCAATCACCACTTTATTAGCAGCTTCTACTTGACCATTTTCTTGTGCATAATATGGTGTTGAAGTTATTAACTTAATTCCTCTCGATTGAGCATATTGAGCAAATTTTCGACCTGTAAACACTGTGCCTTGATCTGTGGTGATTGTTTGAGGAATCCCAAACCTTGTTATAATATGATCTTTGACAAAATCAATTATGTCTTTTTGCTTGACTTCTTTTAAAGGAATAACTTCAACCCATTTTGTAAAATAATCTATGGCAACCAATATATATTTATGATTTTTCGAGGAAGGTGGGTGAATTTGCCCTATTATATCAATTGCCCAACCTCGAAATGGCCAAGGCTTAATGATCGAATGCAATTCACTTGCTGGTACCCTTTGTATCGGCCCATGTCTTTGGCATTCCTCACAGCTTTTTGCAAATTCGATACAATCTTTAATCATGGTTGGCCAATAGAAACCTGTTCTCGACAAAGCCCATTTCATCTTTTCACCTGCTTGATGTGCTCCACAGATGCCTTCATGTATTTCTGCCATAGCTATATAACTTTCATGACTCCCGAGACATTTGAACAAAACTCCATCGAAACCTCTTTTGTACAATTAATTATTTAGCAAGACATAATTGAGGGCTTGAAGTTTCATTTTTCTTTCAACTTTCAGATTAGGATTTTGCAAGTATTCGACCAATTTGCTTCTCCAATCTTGTTGACTCGAGGAATTAACACTTAGTGTTGGCTGCTGACATACTAATTCATTTTGCATGTGAATCAAAGATTCGAAACACTTTTTACTCACTTTATACCCCGATGCCATCTGAGGCAATTCATTTGCGATGGTATTAGTATGTCGAGAAACATGTTGTAACTCAACCTCATCGAATGCGTTTAACAACTGTACAGCTCGAGATTTGAATTCGACTAGTTTTTAATTCAGACACTTATATTCCTGAGTTAGTTGTTTAATAACGAGTTGTGAATCTCCTCGAATTACCACATTCTTAGCGCCTAACTCTTTAAGGATCTCGAGTCCAGTAATGAGTGCTTGATATTCAGTTTCATTATTCGAGTATCCTTTATTTGTTTTGAATGATAACTTAGTTGGAATCCCTTTAGGAGAAATGATTAATAAACCTATCCCAGTGCCTAATTCATATTTTGAACCATCGAAAAATAATTCCCAAGGCTTAGTGGTTAAGTAATTAACTTCTTCAGTTTCTTTCGAGTGATCCGCAAGAAAATCTGCGATTACTTGTCCCTTAGTTGCTTTTAACGGCTCGAAAGTTAATGAATATTCAGTTAACGCAAGTGCCCATTTGCCAACTCGAGAATGTAAAATAGGTTTACACAACATATACTTAATCACATTACTTCGACAAAATATTACAACATCACAAGGCCTAAGATAATACTTCAACTTTGTACAAGCAACATAAAGACTTAAACATAGTTTCTCTAAAGGAGTATATCTAGTTTCTACTCCTACTAACATTCGACTTAAATAATAAATGACTCTCTCGATGCCATTATCATCATCTTGCGCCAGGATGCCCGCAATAGTCGAATCGCTAGCTGAGATGTACAACTTCAATTGCTTTCCTTTAGAGAGTGGTGCAAGCGCTGGAGGATGAGCCAAATAATCTTTGATTTCCTCAAACGCCTTCTGGTGCTCTTCATTCCATTGAAATTCTTGCTCCTTTTTCAGACGTAAAAAAGGAGAAAACACTTTAGTTTTGCCAGACAAGTTCGATATAAATCTCCTCAGAAAGTTTACTTTACCTAGGAGAGATTGAAGTTCTTTTTTGTTCGATGGAGGTTTAGTCCCCATGATAGCTTTAGTATTGTTTCTATCCACTTCGATCCCTTTCTGGTGTATGACAAATCCCAGAAATTCTCCCGCTGTAACACCAAAAGCACATTTCAGTGGATTCATTTTTAAACCATGTTTTCTCATTCTCTCGAAAGATAATTTTAAATGGCATAAGTGATCCTTCTTTTGTTTCGACCCAACAATTATGTCGTCAATATAAACTTGTACAAACTTACCAATTAAATCATGGAATATTAAATTCATTGCCCTCTG